GAGAGTGTTGTAGAGCTGAAACCTCCTTATTCTGTCGAGCAGTTAGTTAGTGTGTGTGTGTGTGTGTGTGTGTGTGTGTGTGTGTGTGTGTGTGTGTGTGTGTGTGTGTGTGTGTGTGTGTGTGTGTGTGTATTACCTGCCGTAGCTGGGCCAGGCCTCGGAGGATCTCCTGCTGTCGGTGTGTGTGTGTATGGCGCAGCAGTTCAGGGTGGAGGAGTCGATGTGAGGGAGGAGACGCTGAGATCGGAGGAGCTTCTGATGAGGAGAAGAATAGTTTACTGACAGTCTGTTAAACAGTCTGTTTCTTTATTTAGTTATTTCATATTTGTTTAAGTGTGGCTCCTCTGTACAAACAACAACTGTAACAAGCCTCTGTCCTGAAAGAGGAGTCGAGTATTATCAGTTAACTGTTATGGTTCATTTTAATGTCTTGTCTTGGGTAAGGGGAAATGGTGGCAAAAAGAGATGACATCACAATAAAAAAACACATTAAATGAAGACAAATGCACAGGTCGAGGTGTGTGTGTGTGCGTGCGCGTGTGTGTGTGTGTGTGTGTGTGTGTGTGTGTGTGTGTGTGTGTGTGTGTGTGTGTGTGTGTGTGTGTGTGTGTGTGTGTCCAACCTGTGTGTGTTTGAGGCGGGGGGGTGTCAGCAGGCTCCAGTGGGTCCAGGTTGAAGACTTCATCAGTGCGGACGTAAGGAATGAACTCCAGAGGAGGAGAGGAGGAGGAAGGAGGCACCGGCTGTCCCTGGACTCTGAGTCTGACAGCGGGGAGGGGGGGAGAGCGCCCCCTGCAGGGGACATCAAAGAGGAGTCAACGCACTGAACATAAAACATCTTCTCTGGCAGATTAAAGAGCTGAACTGGGTTGCGGTCGAGATGTTAAGGACTAACTTTTATAATAAATACATTTGTATTTATTTTAAGATCTTTTCATACAATCATACGTATTGGGATTATTTGTATTAATGTGGACCGGAGGGAGAGGGTGACGAGCATACATTTCACTTTCCTTTTTATTTCAATTCCAGCTTTGGTCATGAAAAATATGTTTCTCTGTTGTCCACGTTCATAAAGCATAAAACAACAGCATCAGAGCACGGTTCAGAGTCTCTAGATGAGTTTACAGTAGTCCCTCGTTCTTATTAAACATCTATGTAGTCCGTTGTATAGAACACTGTAGTTTCCATAGTTTCCCCACAGCAGCAGACGCACATTTATGACGTCCGCTGGCGCATCATAAACACGTCGGATAGTGAAAGTGCATTCGGATTCTCTAAAGTACCGCAGTCTCTTCTCCTAAGTCCTTTTGAATTCTCCTATCCACTATCCCTTCACCCTGTGACGTTTCACTCAGAGGTCAAGGGATAGACGATAGGGATAGACGTTAGGAGCTGATTTTTGGACTATTGGACCGCAACCCTGGTGTTTAGTAATCACACTGTGGAACTTCTTCATGACTGCACAGATAACTTCCTGCATTTCCAAGAGTTCCAACTGCTCGTTTGTGCATTTCGTAGCAGTACAATTACTACTAGTAAAGGTTGTTTTCATTTCATTTTTTTTTTTATAATTGTAAAATGTTGCTGTGAAATAAAGTCCAAAAGCGTGTTACAACAGGACTTATACAAACGCATATTAACATTTGATAAGGCAGAAACTTTGAATTGTGACTTACTTTAAATGTAAAATGTGTATATTTTCTATCAAACAACTCATCTTATACTGTCTGTGTGGTTTACTCCTGGCCTGTCTTTACTAGATAAATGTTTCGGTTCTGCTTTTTGTATGTCACTATTGTAGAATTGTCTCCTTTTTCAGGGGAAGGGGTTGAACAGTAAGACATCTGCTCAGAGCTGCTCACCTCTCAGGGCTGACGGCTGCAGCAATGCTGAGTCCTCTGGAAACACTCTCCACCTGCAACAAACACTCATTAACACATATCCAACCACAGATAATATCATCATCCTGCAGGGAAAAACTGAACTCCTTTGGAGAAGGGAAGTAACAAAAGGTGATCAACCTCAACAGTTATATTAAATGAAATTAAAACAAAAGCAGCTTTTCAGAATTCACAGTGAAGGTTTACAGTGTCAGGGGGTTCCCTACCTTCCTGGTGGGACTGGTTCTGGTGTGTGTGGGGTTGGAGGGGACAGAAAGCTCCCGCTGCTGAGGAGGAGGGGGTTCGGCCCTGGACAGGCAGGTCCTCTCCTGCAGAGCGAGGAGCTCAGCCTGCCTCCTCTGCCGGCTCTCCTGCCTATTCCTCTGCAGAGCCGCTGGGTAACGCTCCGAGGCGGGGACAAACTGCCGGCTGGGCCTAAGGAACAGGAACCGGTAAAGAGGGGGGGTCTGAGAAAATAAATACTGACAGGATGTGAGGTCTTTATTTTTTAAGACAATATGGAGGTTGTGGGATTGATTTTGGATCTCTACATTCCTGATTTTTAACATTGAAGGGTTGATTAAAGAAAATCAAATGGGGGTACGTGAACCCCTGGGGGTAAGTTAGGGTACTGCAGGGGGTACGTGAGATTTAAAAAAAAGAAAAGGTTAATTAAAAAAATACCATGCATGATTACAAAAATAATCATAGTACAGTTAAATAGAAACCACCAAGGGTTCAAGATCTGTTCTTGTGCTTTTCTGGTGCTTAACTGGTTGTTCTCTGTTTTTATAAGTGTGTGGTCACGTTCTCGTCACTTTGTTCTGCGCTACTGCTTGTTACAACTTGCCGTACTTGCTATTACAGATCTAGCACTTCATTTCAGACTCCAGCTTACAGCTTCCTGCCTACGACCTGCCTAAAACCAGTATAGAGGAATGTTAAGCCCTCCCACTATTTTCCAAGAGGGCGTTAACAGATTTTCAATTTCAGGTTTTAACCAGGAGATGGCGCTTCATTCACAAATACAGAAATGATGTTGCCTTTCGTAGTTGACAGAAACTGCTTTGAAGACCATTTGAACATATAGTCTTTATATATTAAATAATCATAATAATAATGTAAATGTTTACATTACATTAAACCATGCATTTTGTAATGTCAGCATTTCATTTAGAAGAAAAGTAGTGATATTTGATATTTATACTCTATTCCAACAGATTAAACCATTTTCCCACTGTAGGCCGATGCATGAAATTCTTACATTTTTGCCAGTTATATTATGGAGCCGCTGTAAAAAAGGATTTGATCATTAAGTTATTGTAACTTTTGTCTTTAAGTTACTTTCACTTAACATATCAATTTATGCAATTTCTACTTAATTTCATAAGTTGTTATTATTTCAACTCAGCTCTGTAAGCCAGTTCAATGACCTCTACATTCTATGAAGTCAATTTGACTGAACAGTGAGTTGTGATGTGTAATAATGTTCTGAAACTTTCCATGGCCTCTTAACATGGCAGTAGTGTTGACATATTCCTGCCCGGTGAAAATAGTCCCGGTCTCATAGTTGTTTTCATTAATTGAATGCATTTAACAGGGACATGAGTTTTTTATTTTTTTACGATATACAGCAAGTGAACCACAGAGTTTGATTCGCCATTATCAAAAGAAGAACTTCCACCGGACAGATTGATGACTACGAAAAGCTAAGCGGCGGATGAATACGTTTTTGTGAAGCGATATGACAGTGATTTCGGCTGATGAACCAGGCAAAGTCAGGTGAGTGGTTGCATATTTAATGGTTTCAGGCAAAACGAAAAGTAGCTAAATGGAGTTAAATCCACACCTAACTGGTGTTTGAATGTTTATAAAAGAGATTTTATTTCAGGGCAGTGTTATGAAAATGTCGGTTAACCAAGCTAACTTTACAGGATTATGATTATCTAAACTTTTATTAAATAAATAAGTTTCAAGTATTCTTACTCTTATGTATGACGCTTATGAATTTTTAAAAGGTTTAAATGGTAACTGCCTATATTTGTAGCTTAATTTAGAGAGGTTTGTGTTTGTTCGTTCGCCAGTAATTAGCCGTGTCCCGGCTCTGTTCGGCTAAGAATTGTAGCTTGTTAGCCCCCGCCATGGCTTTGAAATGGATGTCATTTGTGGATAAGTATAGGGGACTTGAAGATTGTTTTTTGTTAAGGCCGAGCAAGTGTGAAAGTGATTCTATCCTTGCAACGTTTTTCTAGTTCAGCTCACGCTAAACCTGCCCAGATACAGAGGGGGTGCCTCACGCCATTGAACGAGTAAAATGCTAACTGTGTTCAGAAATAGCATTTATATTGTGTACAAATGCTATGTTCCACTCTTGAAATGGAGACAAATTTGTATTTCTGCTTTTTAGAAAATATTTTATAGAAAAGAAAGGAATATATTTAGTTTATTTTATTGAACTATGGTGCCCATAAACCAGATGTCCCACAATGCATGTTCGTTCCAGTAATTAGCCGTGTCCCGGCTCTGTTCGGCTAAATATTTAAGCTAAATTAACGTGTTTCGGTGAGGTTGTGTGTGTTCCTGCCAGTAATTAGCCGTGTCCCGGCTCTCTGTTCGGCTAAGAATTGTAGCTTGTTAGCCCCCGCCATGGCTTTGAAATGGATGTCATTTGTGGATAAGTATAGGGGACTTGAAGATTGTTTTTTGTTAAGGCCGAGCAAGTGTTAAAGTGATTCTATCCTTGCAACGTTTTTCTGGTTCAGCTCACGCTAAACCTGCCCAACAGAGGGGGTGCCTCGCGCCATTGAACGAGTAAAATGCTAACTGTGTTCAGAAATAGCATTTATATTGTGTACAAATGCTATGTTCCACTCTTGAAATGGAGACAAATTTGTATTTCTGCTTTTTAGAAAATATTTTATAGAAAAGAAAGGAATATATTTAGTTTATTTTATTGAACTATGGTGCCCATAAACTACATGTCCCACAATGCATTTCGTTCTGTGACTTGCGCACTGAAGTGTCTTAATATCAGCCGTTTCTAGCAGCGGGAACAGTCGGTGCTCAAGGCACTTAAAAATGTTGATCTTGATTGATGAGATTATTGTTATTTAATCTAATAAATTAATGGGATGTATGTAATTATAACACAGGGAAAGGTTACTGTTCACCCACAATAATAAATAAGATGTGCAATGGTTGTAATTGTTAGATATTTATATTATAATAAAATAAATAATATTTATACATGAACAATAATTTTTCCTAAACTTCTGCTTTCAGAGGTAGTCAAGTTATTACTAAAAAAAACAATAATAATCCACTGAATAGTCTATGGAAAATAACTGCAAGCAAATAATCAACAATTACAACCATTGTACAATTTCTTTTAAGTTTGATTAAAACAAATAATGGTTTTTTCATTGATATATTTGGCATGCACGTAGACACAAAAATGCTCTATGTGGATGCACACTAACCTTTCTCTGTTATTATTACATGCATCCCATGAATTTATTAGATTGAATATGCCTCATCAATCAAAGATGAACATTTCAAGTTGTTTATTTATTTGAAAGAAGTACTGTTTAAGTCTTTATCATATGAATTCAGGGATAATATTGTAATTGTGAAAGCCAAGGCTTGTAGTTTATGGACAACGTGACTGTTGTAATTGTGTGCATCTTATTCTTTGTCATGTTCTCAGTTCTTATTACTTTATTAAGGCCTGCTTCATAATGTACCTAAATGTGTGTTCTCTATTACAGACAGATTTTCAAAGATTTCCGTTTTGCTGCAACTGGATGAAGTGGACTTGTAAGTTGTGCAGGTTTTCCAGTTACAATGAGAAGGCAACATGAACAGTTGCAGACTGTTGGTAGAATATTTTCTATATGTCTGTGTCTCCTCAGATTCAGGCAGAGTTCCAGAGAATTGTCACTACGGACCTGCTTTCATCGTTTCTGGATGGACTTGATGGCCTGGCATTGCTGGAGGTCTACAAAGGTGCATCCAGGACTGGAAAGAAGCCGGCACTAAAAGGCCTTTTGGACTGCCTTGAGAAAGATGTAAGTGGAGATGCTGATGACCATAATTTAGCCACCATTTGTTTGCTACAAATGTTTATATCCCACTGCATTTGTTGTCCTGCAGGACACAAATGAGAGGAGGAGGACTGCTGCTCTCTTGGGACTATCACACTACATGTCTGGCGAAAATCAGGAAAATGTCATCAGGATGTGTGATGTAAGATCATAACTGTCTTGAATTACTTTATGTAATTGTACATTTTAACATAAATCAAACCAAATCACCCTGTGCCCAAAGTTTCCTTCAA